ATTCACACAAATTGTTAAGTAGCAAATCTGTCTTAGGAAATGTACTAAAATATGCCTTACAATAATGTTTAGCATCTCTTGCAGCTAACCAATCAGCAGCCTTAGCATTTATCTCCTTTAACTCCTCCATTTGCCGCTTATATTCTGCTTCTGTTGTTGCTTTACACACTGCCCACAGTTTCTGCTTGAGTACATTCCCACTGAAACCATCCTTTACAAAGTTAGCATGCATGTGCCTAACACATAATCTATGCTCCATTCCCGGAAACAATTCTTCAACAGCAGGTATCAATCCCTTTTGCTTGTCTGAAATCAATGTCCAAGCATGAGGGTTACTTGAAATATTAAGATCACTGTCCAATCGTTTCAAGAACCATAACCAACTGTCCTTCAATTCCCCTTCAACAATGGCAAATGCTATAGGGAACAAGCTGTTATCTCCATCAACACCTACAGCACTCAAAAGTTGCCCTCCCTTCTGGCAACCCTTAAGATGACAACCATCTAACCCAAAGAAAGGTCTACATCCTCTCAAGAACCCTTCTTTGCAGGCTGCAAAGCAAATATAGAGTCTCAGAAACCTAGGTCTTCCATTGACAGTAAACTCACTATCAAGTTTCATCTTCACAGAAGTTCCCGGATTGCTTCTTTTCAATTCCTCACAGTAATCATTGAGTAAGTTGAATTGTTCTGAAACATCACCTTCCAGTTGCTTAAGAGCCTTTTGTTTAGCCCTATATGCCTGGTGTTTACTGACCTGACATTTCAAATTTGCCTTCACATGTTCTTGAAACTGTATTCTACCCCATTCTGTATTAAGTTTAATTTCATCCTTGTACATTTTGGCTAGAAAACCAGATTTCACAGTTCTATTTTCATCTTGATCCCCACATGTGTGTTCTGGAATGTATGTTTTAACCTGAAATGGACTTTTTGGATTGCTTCTTGAGGCAAAAATTGTCCAATTGCATATGTCATTGTGTCTACACACAACCCTCACTCTACTGCTTTCATTCTTTTTAAAGTGGATATCTTTTCTCCTAGTTGCCTCATAATATTTAACAGCCCATTTAAACTCATCTGATGATTTGAAAATCATTCCAATCTCAAACTTAAAGCCTTCTTTTTTCAAGTTCCTTTCTTCAAAAACATTCTGTACACCACTATCTCCCCCATCAGAATCTTCAGAATTCTCTAAACTCTTAAACACCTCTTCAGACAATTGGCACTCTACTTCTTGTACTTCACCCCCTTCCAGTCCAACAGCAGGATTGACTTGCTTAGAACTAGCCCCAGTGTCTATAAGATTAGGGTCTTCCTCACCTTGATCTTCACCTTCAACCTCATCCTCATTTTCAGAACTCTGGTTTATTCCATCATAGAGTAGGCAATCATCTCCCAATTCTCTAGATATGTCTACCTCATAATCTCATTGGTCATCAAATAAATGTTCAACAAATATTTCTACCTCCTTGTTGGGTGGAACCTCTTCAACTAAACTAACTATGTCTGCATCATTCAGTAGAGGCTTAAGATCAGTTTTTGTTGGCTTCTTCCTACCCTTACCCTTAACCTTAACCAGAGCCCAAAATTGCACCTTTTTATCAGCATACCTCAATTGTTTCACCATTCTCCTTAAATCTAGTATACTGCCCTCATCACAGTTGAAATGGTCAAAGAACTCAACTCCACCATCCCTATAACCAACAGTTGGATGCCATACTAAATCCCCACCAATATGGAGTTTTATGCTAAAGACAGAGGATTCTTCACCAACATCTATACAATACAGTAAAACAATTAATTGCAGTGAAAATGGTCTACTTCATAGGTCCCAACAACACAGAATAAATGTAGGCACTTTTAGATGCACTTTGGGAAACTAACACAAAATACATATATTCAATTCCAGGCAATTACAAATGGTCCCCATATGCTTTCCCCTTTTTCGCTTTTTCTATTACAGTACATGTGTTTCCTTGGTCCCCACCAAACATTAACATAGAACACAACAAAATGCACATGTTAACATCAATAGTAAGACAAAATACATTGGCCAGTTAAATGTGCGAACAACAAAACAAACAAGCAGTTAGAATTTAAAAAAAAATAGGGTTGAAAACTTACAAGTAGGAGTGCTGTTTAACCCACTAATTCTCCTACTAGTCATTGCGAATGGCGTCCTTAATAGCGTATTCTATTCGAAGTGGTGGAAAGGTGTCAATGGCGGAGGTTAGGGTTCTTCATGTGTGGTGGCGGAAATGGCTGAGAATGGCGGAGGAACGGGCTGAAAACGATTAAGTAAAACCAATGATGTGTGAAATTCCACCCTTACCCTTGATTTAAACGGTGTCAAACGGCCATAGTCACAGAAGGACCAAAATTGCTTAGTGGACGAATAATTGAGGGACCAGTTATGTCCAAATAGGGAATTAGGGATGACATTGCAGAATTGACATTAACTGAGGGACCAAAAGTGCGATTCCCCCTATATTATATGGATTCAATTATTTTTTCTTCCGTGCGGGGTTCGTGTAAGGTTAACAGGGGCTGGGGTGGGGTCCACTTTTGTCGTTCTGCGTTACTTATAAGCTTTATGGCAAGGTATATAGGGAGTGTTATGTTCTGCATCCGTATGCACTATGCATGGTGCATACGGATGCAAAAACGATGTCGTTTTGGCGTATAACTTTTTTAAAAAAAATAATTCAGAATTACATAACTACACATCCATAATTTCACTAACTTCCAGAATTGATAACTACACTTCCAGAATTGCATAACCACACTTCCAGAATTGCATAACTACACTTCCAGAATTGCATAACTATAATTTCAGAATTGCATAACTACACATCCATAACTTCATAACTACACTTCCAGAATTACATAACTACACTTCCAGAATTGCATAACTACACTTCTAGAATTTCAAAACTAAAAAATCCAAAATGAATGAACTAAAAATGAATAACATAATGTTGTTGCTGGGAATTGAAACTGATTTTTTTTTTTAAGTAGGGCGCGCGATTTATGCAAAACGACGTCGTTTTTGCATCCGTATGCACCAGGGTTCGAGTTTAATTTGTTGTTGATTCACTTGCTTTTAACCTTTTAAAAATAATTAGCCCCCAAACAATGTTATTTTAGAATTAAAATATTTTAAAAGGAATTTTTTAGTGGGGTTCACTTACCCTGCAACGGTTTAATTACTTTTCTTCCGTGCGTGATTCGTGTAAGGTTAGCAGGGAAGGGGGTGCGGCATGGGAAGGATAATTTCTAAGGTGTTCACCAACAATAATGGTACTAGCACCGACGCCAACATTGGTGCCATTTGACCATGTACAACTATGAATGGTATGCTTATTTACATGAAGTACTTTGAAGATAAATGTTGACAATTCCTAATACAATCTATATAGCATAGATAGTTGTACATCAAAAGGCATTGATACTTGTTAGTACGAAATTGTGCTTAATATGATGTGTAATTAATATTATTTGTACTAGTTTTATTAGTTGGCATATATGTTTGTCCAAAAAGTGTCTAAGTCACATTAACTCGGTTTTGTTATAATTCTTATTTACAATGAATTCTGTGGCCAAGACTCCAAGAGTAATCATAGAGAACTAAGAGAAGTGGTTTGTTAGTCCTATTTTTACTCAACAAAGATGTGGTCACCACATTCAAATATGTGAACCTTGGTTGAATGGAGCCACAAAACAAGGTGTCCAAATTGCTATTTAAAGGGGTTGTGTAACATCATTACAAGTTGAAGTTTCCAAGAAAGGAGAACTATATGGAGTTATTTCTCTATTTAAGATCACAATATAAAATGTATTGAAAATTCAAAGTTGGTATACGATTATGTGTATGTACTTAGTACTTAGTATATTATGTGCATGTAAATAAATTAAAGACACATAGACCCTGTTTGGTAAAAAATTGGCCTATAGGTTAATTTTGGCCTATTTGACCACTATTAATTGTTTGATTTAGTTAAAATATTAATATAAATGTTTGGTTAATTAGCTTTTTGTAACTTAAAAGGCTAAAATTCAAAAAGCTACTCCAAGCAACTTTTTCAATTAGCTTTTTGAAAAAAAAAAATTATACCAGACAACTATCAGCTAACAGCTAATTTACTAAACATTTTTCTACAATCAGCTAATATTATTAACTATTTATACTCTCTAATTAACACAATCAGCTAACAACTAACAGCCATTTTACCAAACAGGACCATAATATATGTTAATACAAACACATCATATGTACTTATTAACTGTATGCATATAATTTTTGAATCAATGAGCAATGCCTGAACTAGGGTATAACAATTGATTTAATCAATTCTTGGACCAAAAAATGTCCAACGATGTCGTCAGCAAATAAATTAGGCCCGGAAGAAGATATATGTACACACAAATTTTTTTTAATTTTTTAAGACTTGAAAATTATAAATTAATTAATACTTTAATAATTAATACTAAAATATTAATTATTAACTTAAAAAACATCTAGAGTTTGAACAATTTAGTGTCCTTTCGCTCCAAACGATGTCGTTTTCGGTTAAATAACTCATTTAAAAAAAAATGAAACAATACCTAATCGATCGACTAGGCAGCACTTAAGCAGCCTAGTCAGCCGCCTAGAGTCTAGACCACCCGATTATGGGAGTCTAGACCACCCGATTATGGTGATACACTAGACGGCTAGCCAGTGCCTAACGCCTAGACATTGATTAATCGGTGCCTAGGCGGAATTTTTGTAACACTGACAACGCACCATTTTAGAGTGGAAGCTAACTAGCTAGCTTTCTTTGTAATTGCAAATTGATATGAAATTTAAGGAAGCTTTGAGGGAGGGAGAAATTTGAGTCCCATGACAGACTTGAAGATGACACACCAAAGGCAAAAAATTTGACTTAACAGTAACCACTCACTCCAGCAGAAGCTGTTTGTTTCAATTTTATTTATTTATTCAATATCCTTAAATTAAATTTCACATACAAGCATGGCCTGATGATCATGCAACCATAACAGAACAATTTAAAATGAAGTGGCTGAGTTGGTTTCTGCCACCATGAAGAGGCCTCCATTCCAGTTCAGAGGCATCTGGATTTGGATTGCAGGTGTATATGGCCATGCAATTCCCAGAATTTGACACTGAAGAAGCTCCTATCACTAGAAGTTGATTCCCCAGAGACTTGAATGCCACTCCCCACCCTCTGTTGAAATCAGCCCTCACAGGAACTGCCCCCAAATGCTTCCATGTATTGCTCTTTTTCAGATACACTTTCAGCTGGTTGGTGGAGGCTTCGAGCGAGTAGAGCTCGTTATTCACCACTGCGACGAGGGGGGGAGAGTGGCACGTCCTAACCGGGTCGTCTTTCAGCATGTCGGGTATGACCTCCCATCGGTTCCTAGCCTCGTCGAAGAACTCCCCGCACGTGAGTTCCCCTGAGTCGTTTCGCCCCCCGATCACGTAGAACCGGTTGTCCATGTAGCAGCCCGAACACATTTTTCGCCTCGTCTTCATCCTCGGGAGAGGCTCCCACGACCGGTTCTCGGGGTTGTATTTCTCGGCGGTGTCGTAGACTTGGCTGTTTGCAGCCATCCCGACTCCGCCAGCCACAAAGGCGGAATTCCCACAAGTTGCAGACGCAAAGAGGCATCTCGGGTTCACCATACAAGGGCCTTTGAACCATTCGTTCGTGGCTAACTCATACCTCCATATGACTAGCCCATCTATCTCCTTGCCCGAAACGAGGAGATGAGTCCCTGCACAGAGCGATTCTTTATCGCCCGATGTGAAACAAAAATCGGATGGCAAGACCGGGAGCTTCCTCCGACACCTAAACTCTCCATCAAACGACCACCAACTACTCTCCCCACTCGCCAGCATAAACACAGAGGGCTCTTTGAAACCAATCTCTCTCCTGATCTTGAACAGCTCCCCACTCCTCAAAAGGGCTAAACACCTCTTGTTCACAAAGCATAGCTTCCAATACTCCGACCTGGGGAACCTCGCCAATATAAGACTCTCGACCTCATAGCTGAGCGAGGGATAATCTGCATCCTGAGGCACTTCATTAGACGAGCCATCACTACTCACTGCCATAACCCTCATCCTTTTGGGTGAACTTCTAATCCAATGCCTAAAATAAGATCTCTCATCCATAAGATATCACTTATCACCTCACCCTAATCCACACTTCCCTTTCCTATATCAGATTCTTCCTATGTTTCCTTCAAACATTGATTAACACACTGAGGGCAGCCTTAAATCTTCTGCAATGACAAACCAAAATGCAGCCAGCTCATGATAACAATACAAGAAATCAACTAGAACATAAAATCAAAATCCAATCTTTCTCTTAAACCAACAAATATACACCCAGAAAGTAAACAAAGCAACAAGTAAGTAACAAATAGGGGAGGCTATAAGAACTAGAGAATAAGCATAAAGTCCCAGGAACTGATTGATCCACTGGTTTCTCTAAAACATATATATATTGTTAGAGGATTCGCAAATCTTGTCTAAACTACTAGATTATTCAAAAACTTGATTTTGGACAAATATCCCAAACTTTAACAAGCCTGGAATAACAATATTCTTGAGCAACATGAAGCGAAAGGGACTCGAATACCTGACAGCAAAATTCTTCACGGAAGGGAAACAAATCTATTGGATTGGGAGGATGTCTTTGGCGTTTAATGAGGGGGGGAATATATATATTAAAAGGGTTTAAAACAGCTTTTAAAAAGGAGAAGCAAAGAAGAAGCTTCAATCTAAACGCTAAAGAGAAATCCAATTGAAACCAGCAACTGACAAATGGTTTGACTGATAAATTGCCATGCCGATAAATGGTATTCGCACGAATCTTATACAGTAGTGCAAAAAGACCAAAGAAAACACGGCGCAGCAGCCGGGGCAAGGACGGAGGGTGGGGGGAAAAGGCTCACCATTGAAAGTCAAAAAGGTACGGTTAAAGAGAAAACATTTGACGCCGGAATAAAACGAGTCTTGAAAAGTCTCCGTCAGGGGTTTTTATCAGTGCAGATCGAGCCAAGAAATAGAGGGAGACAAGCACACGGCAAGAGAAGAATAGTGGGCGTGTGGGTTTGAAAAAGAAGGGGCGGCCATTGAGGTGCAGAGAGGTATATAGAAATGGAACGAGGAGGTAAAGAAAGAAAAAGGGGAAAATAAAATCAAAGAATCTGTAATAAAAAAGGAAAGAATTGAAGGTTGGTTGGGTTGGGTTGGGTTCTTGGAACACATCCCATTTGCTGAGGAATAAAATAGGAGAGAAATTATTATGAGACTGGGCAGAGACGACAACGGCAACAACAACATCGTCCATTTCGGAAAAGTCATCAATTCTTTATTATTAAACTTTTCTGGGTGAGAGAGAGAAGAGGAAGAATGCGATGATGAGGAGCGAGGATGAGGGGGGAGGTGGTGTATGCGTGTTGAGAAATGAGAATATTGAAATGGGGAGTGAGAGGGCGATGAGATGGAATTTGGAATTTTATAATAGGGGTGATAGAGACGGAGGCATTGGAGGGCGGAGGGTCATCGCCATCGGTTGATGGAAAGAGATTTTGGCGGTCCCAATCTCCCCCGCGAACCCAAATGCCGTAACAACACACCACATTCCACATATACCCACCCCCCTAACAAAAGTGGATTACACATTCACCACCGCACCCGCCTCACTTCCCTCCCAAAATTGCCCCTCACTTTACTATATCATATATCAATTCTAAAATCACTTCTTCTATGTGGATTCTCAAATTATTCTCTAAATTTTAATAACTGATATGAACACTGATAAGTTACTTTTTCTCAAGGTCTCAATACAAGTGTCTACATCAACATTTTTGTCATTTTATGTGTGGAATAAAAATTGAGAGTACATATAATATTTTTCTTCTAAAATATTGATGCTATAGGCCATTGTTAGCAAAAGTCCGCAAAATATATTAAAAGCATACGTTCAGTTATATATGTCCAAATGTGGCGCTGCTCTCTAGTGCGGTCGTGCAGACTCATTTTGACCACTAGATTCGCATAGATCAACGGTTGAAACTCAATGAAGATTTGAAAAAAGCGGTGACATTTTGATAATTTCTTGCATATTTCGGTGGTGCACTAAGTGTTGGGGTGTGATGCATATTTGAGTTAATTGTGGTGTACCACAAAGTGCTGGTCTGTGGTGCACTAGTGGAAAAAAACGATGGCATTTTGATAATTTTCTGCACTATGTATATTTCAGTGTTGCACTAAGTGTTGGAGTGTGGTGCATTTTTGAGTGAACTGTGGTGTACCACAAACTACTGTTCTATGGTGCACTAATGAAAAAAATGCTGTAACATTTTGATAATTTTCTACACCATTTATATTTCGGTAGCACACTTAGTGCTAGGATGTGATGCACTTATGAGTGATCTGCGGTGCACCTATGAGTGTCGTGTGGTGCACTAGGAGTAAATGCACCACCGTGCACGACCTCACGGGAAGAGTTGACTGCATATGAACCAGATCTTTATATATATATATATATATATATATATATATATATATATATATATATATATATATATATATATTAGGGTCAAATGAGAATTATCATCATGTGAGAATTGTGGACAAATCTTGCGCGTTCAAATTTTTTATTTGAATGACCTATATTTGATTTCATAAGATCACATGGATTGATTTTTGTTTGTTAAGTGGGGATAATAGTGTGCGTTTGTTTTTTATATTTGTTTTTGTTTTGTTTTTTTTTTTTTGGGTATTTTGGTAACTACTAGGTGGAGATATTTGTTTCATATTTTCTTCGATCATCACTATTGTGAATTTGAGCTACAATTTCTTATCATCGATCGAGTATTTGTTCATTAGAAGTGATCAGTATTCTTTTATTTTATTTTCGCTTGTTTTTTTAGTATAATATTATCTATATTTGGATGTCGATATATATGTGTTATTAAATTTTACTAAATTTTACTCCCTAGGTAACCGTCATAAGTATTTTCCTTCTAAAATATTGATGCTATAGGCCATTGTTAGAAAAAGTCCACAAAATATATGATGCAACAGTTATACACACAGCTATGCAATCGTTAATTGGGCACGCTGCAAACGTTGTGCGATACCTACTATATGGTGGTGTGTGCATGCGTTACAGCACCAAGCCCGTGCATTCCTACTGTGGGTACGTTGCACACTATGTAACTAACCATTACAATGCAGGTGCATGCAGTGGCGGAGGGAGCATGGGGGCAGCTGCCCCCACTGCCCAAAATTATATATGTTAGTTACTACTGTTAGTTACTAATGACTAATGGCTAATTTTTAAGTTTACTAGTTAAAATTACTATTTAATTTATTAATTGCTAACTGTTAATTAAAGTTAATTAATTAATTACTAGTGTTATAGTTTTTGTTGTTAATTAGTTACTGTTAGTTTTTGCTAACTGTTAATTAGTGTGGATTATATCCATAGTTAATTTCTAATTACTTAATTTATTAACTTGATGATTAGTAATTAGTTTAGTCATGATTTATTAAATGATTATTTAGTGTCGTATGTTGAAAAAGATATTTTTGATCAAATTTCAAATGAATCAGTTCTACAACGATTTCAACATTGTTTAGTGACGTATTATTCTGTAGTTTATCATAAACCTTATATTGTAATTTAATAATGTATTTGTATTTTAACAATCTTATTTAATTTGTATTTGAATCTTGTATTTGAACTTTTTAAATTTATTTTCCTTTTGCTTCTTCGCCCCCGCTGAAAAAAAATCCTGGCACCGCCACTAGGTGCATCCATTCCTACTGCTATCAATACACACCCACCATTACAATGCAGGCGATACGTATGCGTAGGAATTGGGAATAAAAAATTATGAGATGCATTCCTACCATTATTAGAACTCTTATAAATATTGACAATATATATTTTTAATTAAAAATCATTAAATCAGCAAACATTAGTTTACTATTTCGCCCCTGACATTTAATTCTATTTAATTACAAATTATATTCTGGATCAATCATGACCATTAATTTTTTTAAATTGATGCATAGGATTTGATCTCACAATCTCATATAGGAATGTGATCTTATAGGAACCCTCTCATATATATATACATATATATATATACATATATATATATATATATATGTGTGTGTGTGTGTGTGTGTGTGTGTGTGTGTGTGAGATTCAATTTCCGTGCGGTTAAATTTGAGTCATTGGTTTTGTATAAATCAACGTTCAGAATTAACAATGATTAAAAAAAAATGTGGTGGCAATTTAGTCATTTTGCATCTAGGTCAAATTTAAGATGCGTGATTTTTCTTCGTAAGGTGTGTGATTTTTGTACTGTGTGGCTTAAGGCGCGTCAATTGTTGAAAAATTAAGTGCGTCGATCTAAAGCTTTAGGTGCGTGATTTTCCTTCTTAAGGTGCGTTGTTTCCCTTCTTAAGGTGCCTCAGTTGTTGAAACTTAAGGTGCGTTATTTTAAAACTTTAGGTGTGTGGTTTGTGTTCTTAAGGAGGTACTTTGTTTGTGTACATAAGGTGCGTGCTTTGTGTACTCAAAAAAATATATATATATATATATATATATATATATATATATATATATATATATATATATATATGGAAGGGTTCATGTGCGGGTATAGCTTCCCGTGCGGTTGTGCTGTTAGACCTGAGCCGTTGATCAAATCTATATCAACGGCTCAAATCAATGAAAATTTATATTTAAAAAAAAAAAAAAAAAAAAAAAAAAAAAAAAAAAAAACGCGTGTCTGGAAGTAAGAAGCATAAGCTAAAAATTGTGCACCTTAAGTGTTAAATTTTAAGCACAAACTCACGCACATTAAGCACAATACCCTCGCACTTTAAGTATTAACTCACAGACCTTAAGTTTCAACAACTACTGACATTAAGCACAAACTCACGCACATTAAGTACAAAACTCACGCACATTATGCACAACCTCACGCACATTAAGCACAAAACCCACGCACTTTAAGTATTAACTCACAGACCTTAAGTTTCAACAACTACTGACATTAATCACTAACCTCACACACATTAAGCACAAACCCTACGCACATTAAGCACAAACTCCACTCACATTAAGAACAAATCTCACGCACCTTAAGCACAAAAGCGCACACTTTAAGTTTTAACAACTACTCACATTAAGCACAACCCTACGCACATTAAGCACAAAACTCACGCACTTTACGCACAAGACTCACGCATCGTATATACAAAACTCACGCACATTAATCATATAACCGCTCACCTTAATTTTGATCTAGATGCAAAAATTACAACATTGCCACCGCGTTTTTTTTTTTTTTTAAATTTTGATAATCCTGAACGTTGATTTAAGCGAGATGAATGGTCCTGATTAAACCGCACAACCGCACTTGGGCACCCTAACCGCACCCGAACCTAATTCATATATATTCAGGAAATATATTTACCTATTCTAGTTTACTGTAATGATGATGCATCTTTATCTTCCTGAGTTCCTAAGGTTTGATTGTGTTAACATGGAAGAAGAATAAAATATAAAGCATTAATTATTATCACAATCCGATCATCACACCACATGTGAGATGTCTAATAATCCAGGTAATCTTTTCTTTAACTATAAGAAACTAATCATTCTGCCACAAAAAGCTTCCCCATTTTTCCTTTTCCCTCTTTTTTCCCTGTATTTTATTTTATTAGACATCTACTCATATTTGAAAATATTACAGGGCGTTTGGTTGGAAGGATTTTAAATTCCCTTCCCACTTAATTCCCACCTAATTCCAAATGCCATTAAATTCCGTAGTTTTGTTGGAGGGAATTGCAATTCTCCCATTTTCATGGAATTAAAATCCCATGTCCCCTGGTATTTTAATTTCTGAGAAAAAAAGATAGTGATGAGTCAAAATTACCCCTTCTTTTTTTAACCTAAAATTAATGTCTAACAACAATAATGGACATTTTTGACTTTATACTACTCATTCCCTTTCAATTCCCATGTATACCAAACATTGGAATTGAAATTCCCAGTAATTCTATTCCTATCAACCAAACACTGGAATTTAAATTCCCACTTTATTCCCTGTCATTCAACTCCCATGGAATTACAATTCCTTTCCCACATAATTCCCCCTCCAACCAAACGCCCTGTTAGGATTTATTGTATTAGGAGTCTTGTATTAGGACTCTACTATTGTAACATGTTTATATTATGTACTATCCTATTGTTAATATGATTCACAGATATTCAATCTTCATTTGGTATCAGGATTCTCCTATATATGCCTAACGCTTCGCTTCCTCATGACGGCTCGAAGGAATAACTCCGATTATAGCTAGTAATTTTTTGACGTCGGCTCATCACTTCGTCTCAAT